GATAGAAAGCAAAGTTTCCCCTGAAAATGTGAAGCTTCACATAGCCTTACGATTTCCTGGCTCACCCCTTTGCCATTACTCCATTGTGCAAATTGCATACTTTTTGTTGCCTGTTCCTCTGAAACCTTCATTTAGAACAGGGCTCTTCAAACTTGGCCCTTTTATGACTTGTGGACTTCAACTCCCAGAATTCCTCAGCCAGCATGCCTAGCTGAGGAATTCTGGGAGTTGAAGTCTACAAGTCATAAAAGGGCCAAGTTTGAAGACCCCTGATTTAGAAGCTTCCTTACAGCTAGTCCTTGACTTACAACCAAAATAGAGCCTGCCCATCATGGTCATAAGTCATGACACTTGTAAAGCAGGTTGCCCATGTGACTAACACAATTTTATGACCTTTTTTTGCAATGGTCATTAATTGACTGCCATGTGAATCAATGGTTCACTATTGACTGGTTTGATTTTCGATTAAAACATTGTACAATGTGGTTGTGTGACTGTGGAATGCTGCAAATGGCCATAAATATGAGCTGGTTATCAAGTACAAATATAGTCACATGACCATGGGGAGGGGTAGCAATCGGAACTTCTGAAGCAGGTTATGATTGATGATTGATAATCATTTAAAAACATAAACATGCATTTTATATATTTATAATGTATTGTATGTTTAGCCTTTTTCATTGCCTGAAGTTTTTAATCATAATTTTACTTTCTTTTTATAAAAAATATCCTATGCGTTATTTTTATTTTAAATTAGGAACGGTTCAAAAATATAATATCTGAAACTGTTTTCCATATAAAATTTAATGCAAAGTGCAGGCTTTCCAAAGGAATAATAAACTATAAAGAATAAAATAGAGCATCTTGTAAATAAAACTTCTATTCAAGCCATAGAAACAAGAGTACAAAACAGAACTTCTGTATTAACATGTCTAAAAAACATTAGCTGAATAAAGTTTATCCAGCTTTCAGCATTCTGAACTTTAGTTTTGTTGGTGATTCAGGTGAATTTCTGTACATACAGTGACATCTTGAGGCCAAGTTTAGATTTGCAATTCAAAAACTTTTACTAGAAAGTTGTGCTTTGGCAAAAACATACTTTCAGTAGCTGAGCTCAGTAGCTGAGCTCAACTCAAAGACATTTTAACTTTTTAAGGTCCTTTACCCAATTTCTGTGACCAGGTTTATGCTAACCCAGATCATCAACTTTATTTTAAACCTCTCTTGTTTTGTGAACATTTGTCCAAGCTGTCTCAATTCATTATTACCCAGTAAACCTGCAAAACTGAAATCTGTTCATTTCATTTTAGTATGCGATGACTCCAGTGAACATTCTACATTCTTTCGCCATATTTAAACCGGAATCACTTTGTGATTGTTAGAGCCAATGGGGCAAACCTAATTAGATCTGTATATCATTAGCATGTAATCTCTATGGATTTCGACCAAAGATGAAGGGTTTTGGTCCCCATTCCAAGACATTTATAAATAACTCTCATGCAATATCAGAAATTTGTTTTAAAATCCAAATCATTTTAGAAGTATGGCTACGGCAACTGCAGAGAAGATCAAATATGTCAAGATGGTGACTACAAGCTCATACTTGAAGCCTCATCCCTTTTTTTACTTCCTCCAGACATTCAGAATCAATTGTGCTTTCTTTTTGGATACCAACTTGAATTTTTTCACAGACAAATGTGTATCTAAACATGTGCATGAACAACTTTCCTTCCTCTTAGAAACAACAGCAACAAGGAACAGTAGAAAAGCTTTCTTCTTTTGGAGCTATATATATCTTGTACTTCCAAAAATATTCAAAGTACAGATTATACCCAGATTATACCCAGTGATTAAAAATGGCAAATCTCCATACAAACACACATACAAAATTCACAGTTGTCTTCTATCTATTCAAAAGTTCCTCATTCTTCAATATTATTCCTTGGAGGAAAATAATCCTTTGAGTTTTACAAGATGTAAAGGAATGCCCATTTCTAATATTCTGGTTTCAATTTTCTTTTGCGGGAAGATTCCCTGCAGCACGTGGAGAGGATTGATTCAAGGTCTAAGCCATGTCACTTAAAACCAGATTTGTAGGTCCATTAAAAGAACTCTCTGCTTCCCTAGATGTATCCTGGCCTTTGAAATCATCACACATTTCAGCATCATCTCCATTTTCTTGACTCATAAGATGGAAATCAGATTCCAAAGAGTTATTCTCTTCTTCCTTCTTGGCTTCCTTCTGGATGTTAGTGATTTGTTCATGGCATTGGGCATTTTGTAGCTGTCCATTCTGGGCAGGATACAGGCTTGCAATGGTATCATATAGAAACTGATAATCTTCCTAAATGGCATTTAAAAACAGAGAGTTAGCATATGTGCAAATCCATCAGGTATTCTTTTCTTTCCCCAAGCAGTAGTTTCACTTAATGATACGATAATGCTCTAAAAAATGAGAGAAAGAGACAATGTGCTGCCTAGACTTAATTAGTTAATACCGGTATATTTCAGTGTTCATAAATTTCTGCTATTCTCACACTTGGTTTTCATGAATACAGGAAGCCTTTACAATGGATTCTTAAATAAGAGATATGGATAACCATTGGCAAGATTTCCTAAATTATAGCTCGTCGCTTGTCCATCACTTACTATCTGTCAACATCCAGCTCAAGAATCCAAATAAAACTCCATGTTCATTCTGTTTCCGAAAATCTTACTGTTTAGTGAATATTCTGCATGGTAATGTCAAAGCAAAACTAACTCTGAGGTTCCCAGACACCAGTTCATAGAATTAAACAATGATTTCTTCAGCCAAACCTCCAACATCTCACGTAGTCCAACAATTTCACTTTGTTATGGGAACCGTCTGCTTCCTCTCCACACCTGCTGTGGTGTCCTTGGAAAGGTTTCAGGCTCTCGTGGTCTTCAGCGGAATTGTAGAGGTTTTGTTTCTCCATCTAGCCCATTCTAAAGCAACACCTCCCCCCTCTTACTCTAATGGCAAGTTGAAACGAAGAGGCACATAGCTGCCAAAGTTTCATTCTTGACACTATCCTTACCTGCTATAGCACAGAGATATAGCAGAGGGTCCCACAACAGGGACAGGAAGTATCTCCTCCCTTAAATATACACAGAATAGGAGCCAAATTTATCCAGTAGTAGTTACTTCTTTGATTCAACTAAGTATGTGTTTCCTACTTTACTACTAGCAAAAATGTTCAACATTGAAGTATTGAATGACCGTCCAAAATAAATCAAAAGGCAATTATAGTCAATAAAGCAATTGTTGTTTGGACTCTGAACATTTGCTTACTGAATGATAATGATGATGGAAGAGATAGAATTTGTAAAATAAAATAAAGTAAAATAACTACTAATATAATTTACTTACAAAGGAGGAGACCATTTCTGGTCTGGCTCTACGAAGAGCTTTCACAACTTGGAAAACATCTATTACACCTTCAGTCTCAGCACATTCCAAGAGATTTAGCAAAGCACAAAATACTCCCGTTTGCTTAGAACCATCACTATAAATATATATATTGTATGAAATAAAAATATATATTAATTAACAGTGGTAGTGAAATGGAAAGACTAATAAAGCTCAACATTATACAACATATGTTCAGCTACCATAGGAGAAATGAGAAAGAACTGCTAAATCTTACATTAGGAGGAGGGCTTATTGGAAATTCTTAAAATATAGGTGAAAAAACAAACAACTTACTTTGATATTAAAACAAATGTTACTATCATTTTTTAAATAAGTGAAGAAACATTCCAATGAATTAACAGTTCAAAGAATAACAATAATAAGGGAGATGATATTAAGTACAATAATCCATGGTTCTTAAATTTGGCCAAGTCTTGGAAGTAGATGGAAGATTTCAGTACTGCACTCTTGAATAATTGCAGAAGCCTTAACTTTTGATTTAGGGCTCTGTGCAAAATATAGATTACTGACTTTATTTTATTCCATTATTGATATGCTGCCCATCTTGCTCTCCATCTTGCTTGTTGGCTTACTGGTTACATATGTGTGCAGTTGAACATAGTAGGTTTGTGCTTCCCTGATTCATTCCAGTTTTCTGAGCCCTGTCCAAATGTCTAATTATTAATCATTGTGTAAAGACAGGTGAAAAGCAAACTATGGTTTAACATGTGTGTTCACAGTCATGCTCTCAGAGCTCTATTTTTTTCTGTAGTAGCATCAACCTTTTGCTGAGTTGTCTCTATGACACAAGTGCTGTAGGCTTTCTGTAAGAGCCTCCACTGCACAGGATTACAGATGTTTCACAGATTCAGGTAAAACAACTTTGAATTCAAACAGAATGAATACTTATTCCAGAGTTTGGTCCTGGCTAACATAGCCACCATGATCAAGAGTGCTGTGAGGGGAAAATAGACTCTAGAGCAGGGGTAGGCAACCTTGGCTCTTTTATGACTCGTAGACTTCAACTCCCAGAATTCCTGAGCCAACATGGCTCAGCATGGAAACCTCTCCATTTCTCCTCAGCATGGCTGGCTCAGGAATTCTAGGAGTTGAAGTCCACGAGTCATAAAAGAGCCAAGGTTGCCTACCCCTGCTCTAGACTAAAGCAGTCCAGAAATCTTCCTTTGGGTAGGACCCAGAAAAAGGATATACAATGGATACTTTAACTGTTTTTAGTTCTGCTGTATACCACCCAGAGTCTCTTGTTTGTTAGATGTGTGGCTACATAAATTAGTTTAATTAAGCAATAAATAATGTTGCTTTTTTGAACAAATAATTTATATAATAGCACGAAAGGTTTGTTATCATTCATGTCTGTGGTTCAGTGTGGTATGGATTCCCAGGAAAGGAGGGGCTGCTTTTCAGAGGGCAAAAAGGCAGTGGATCTTGGAAACAATGGTTTGCAGGAAGAGGGTTAAAATGGCTCCTCCCTAGAGTTTCCCAGAGTATATCTGTATTATGCAAATGGTTTCTTTAGTTTGGCAAGATTCTGTCTATAGATGAATAAAGGAAATTACTCTTAAGTAACTACGTCAATCTTTTTAGCAAGGGCTGAGCTTTCCTATTTATGACACTGTTGCTATACATTTGTACGCTGCCTCAGGATCAAGAACTATAGAACATACAGTAACCAGTGGTGGGATTCAGCCAGTTCGCACTACTTCGGCAGAACTGGTAGCTAATTTTTTTTTGCCCAGGCCCAGAATGGACTTCTGGAAGCAGCATCCACACAGAGAACCGGTTGTTCACATATTTGAATCCCACACTGACAGTAACCTATTCCAATGTATGTATTATACATGCAACAGGCACATTAGCTCACAACAGACCTTCAAAGCATGTCAAAATACCACTAAAGATGATACCTACCCACAGTGGACAACAAGTGGGACATTCTTGATCTTGTTGGTCATATTTGCTTCAGCTGCATCTTGGGTTGAAAACTTCTGTTTGAGATTCTGAATCATGGTGGTTAAGTCTTGGGGGGTTTCTGGGAGAGCAGAACTATCCCATTTA